AGCTGATCATTATCTTACATCAGAATCCTGTTGACAGGCAACAAGTGGTGTCTCAACCAGCCACAAGATGGAAGATATCTGAAGCTGGAGAGGCCTTTTTATTGAAAGAAAACCTTCAATCATTTTTCGCAGTTAAAAAACCAAAATACTCACTGTGCTTTAACAAATGGACTAAGTTAAAAGTACAGTCACCAAATTTTCAATTCTTATTAGTCTGAGCTTTGCACTGTTGCCTCAGCAGTGCAACATCTAAATTTTTTTTGCCTGCTGTAGATACACAGCAGCCACCTACCACCAATAAGTTTCATGACATTGCTGAAATTCCCTCTGTGCAGAAAAAGAAAATCCTACTTGAGGAAGGGTTTTATTTTGGAAGGTGGGTTGTGGCGTGGGGGCTTTTTTTGTTGTTTTTGTTTGTTGTTTTTTTTAAGACAATTCTGCCTGCTACCTACTTGTACAACACATAACAAAATGCTAAAGTAAAGCAATTAACTTTTCAAAAAGCATAATGCTATGAACATTATCTATTTATGCTGTTGCTTTTTTGCAGATATTAGGAAAAAAATACATACCCACAATCTGGAGCTGGGCACCACCTACAATCAGGATCTGCAACCAGCCATCGCCTAAGCATAAACTCTTCATATTTTTCCATCAAGATGTCGTCATTTAATATCAAACGAATATCATGAGGATTAAATCGTTCTGAGCATTCTGGACAGCTAATATTAACTCTGCTCTCGGAGATTTCTATCCGGAGATACTGACGCAAGCAATCCACACAAGATCTATGGTGACAAGTCATTATCTCCGGGAACCTGTCCTTGGAGTGCCGCAAAAGGCACAAGGGGCATTCCATGAAGTCTCCACTTGGTTTGCTGCTAGAGGTTGTTCCGTTATCGGCAGAGGTACACGTGGAGAAAATAGAGTTCTTGTCTGTACACATTTCTGAATGAATACTTTCAATACTTGCAATTCCATCAACACCTCCATTTAAATCCCTAGACTTCCGTTTCGTGTCTTTTTTTCTCCGAAAAAGAGAGCCCAATGAAATTCTTCTTTTCTTTGGTGCCTTTTTAACTGATGGCAAGCTCACAGAGGAAGCAGAAGACTGGAGGTCCCGATCAGAGCCCATTTGCCGATGTAAACTCATGTCTAGGTCACTCATCAGAAATGGGTTAAATTTCATATACAAACCTAATCATTTTTAAGGATCCAAATAATAGAGTCAGAGGACACAGGCATATTATTATGTAATCCAGTTTGAGAGTCTTCACACAGAAAATTCACATGTATCTGCTTCCATCAAATTCTTCAGAGGAATTCCCTATATTAGGAGGAAAGATGAAAAAAAGATAGATTAGAATCACATCCATCACTTTTGGTTCTGAAAGATCACAGCACTCTAATGACCTGTTATTCATATTACTACCATCTTCTCACCATCTGACCCAATACTTCTTTCTGTCAGCTTTTTCTACCCTTTGCATCCTTCTCATCTTAACAAGCCTGAAATTTCCCTGTGGTCAAGGTGTATCTTTGTTACACTTAAGCAGTGGCAAGAACGGCATCTTCACTCCCCTGCTCCCTAAGGGGGGTGTGTGTGTGCGCGTGCACACGCATGTGTAGAAATCACCATAACCCAAGGTGACAGCTAAGTAAATGTATAACAGGTTCTTCTATATAGCATAGTAACAGGCTTACAACGTTGGAAACTTTTCTGTTTTCTCTACCTTACATTTTCCACTCATGCAATAAGGTCATGTACAAACCCCAATATAGTTAATTAAAAGAAACAAAAGATTTTTGTGTGTGTTTTTAATCCATTTAGACTGCCAGCAGAAATTAAGTCACTGTGGCTAAACAACTCAAGATATTCATTCTCAAAACGTAAGGGTTCTTAGAGAAGTATGTGAATGCATATTTATAATGTAAGGCATCTGAATATTTCAGGAAGCAGAGCTGCAGAATAAGTGACTGTCTTGGCCTTCAACTTCCATATTGCAATTCAAGCAAAGAATAGAGTTAAGGTGACAACATTTGAATTTTCCATCATACTGATTTTTATTTAAAAAAAGGCAGCCCAAAAATCAGATTCCTATCACATATCAAGCTTCAATTATTCCCTATGTGCAAGATGATGGCAAGGATTTCCTCTGTTCCCTGTTGCTTAACTGGCTGGCTCCAAGAGGAGAAAGAAAGGTGTTTTCCTATTTTCCTCCAACAGAAGAGACTGCTACAAGAAGTGGAAGATCACCTCCAGCCAAAAACACTAGCTTCCCCCAAACATGCAAATATTCCCACTTCTTGGGAGCTTGACTGTACAAGAGGAATTTTTCTAACTCTCAGTGAACTGCTTTTGTAATAGAAGAATGAGAAGGCATTTCGTATGTGACATCAGTGTTGCATATCTGGATGCAGCCACTGCTGGCACCATTTCTTTCCTCAGTGTTTCCCAACTTACCTCCCACTGGGTTTCTATGATTTTACTATACCATGATAAAATCAGAAACTGGATACTAAAAATAAGTCAAAAGGTAGAAGCAAAGGAATGTAGAGGGCCACTGGTGATAATACAAAAATATAATTTCTAACTTACACATCTTGATACGGAGAAGATGAAGGGAGGCAAAAAACCAACGTTGAGGTAAATGCCTCTATTTACCAGAGCCCAGGCAGTCTGCACACCAGCTAGAGACTGGCCGAAAAACAACAGTGTGCTGTATGTCTCTGGGACGGGATCACTGAGATGACTGGGTCAAGACTAGGAAGTTTCAGAGGAAGACTGACCAGCAGCGGAAACGAATCCCTCTCCAAAGAAGAAACACAGAGATAGCACACGGGCTGTCCAGCTTGCCAGAGCAATGCTTGCAGCAAACCCACTGCTGGGCCCTCTTCAGACTACTGTAGCTTGGTATTATATACATACTAGCAGGTAGCCAAGTCAACACTACTCAGTTTATATTACCATCCAGTACAGTAGCACACCACAAGAATACTACCTTCCTCAAGTGTAAGAAATTAAAAGAAAAAAACCCAAACAAACCACACAAAAAAAGCGCAACACCCTCCACCCCCAATCTGGTTTTGCTAGAAAGAGGTCTTATGTTTTGGGCCACTAGACTTTTTTTTGTTGCTCTTGTTTTTTTTTTAAGAAAAAAGCCACTATATTCTATTTTTTCAAATGCTGAATTATTACTTTTTTCCTAATAATGGAAAATCTTACCTCCATGGAACACTATCCAAAAATTCTTATTTTATTTCTAGGGTGTACAATAAAGCATATTTCAAGAACATAACATACTCTTCCTTCCCTCCTAAGGGAACATTTTCAGCCCAAAATCCAGTCAAAAGGAATCTTGGATGCTTTACCTGCTTCTGTTCCCAAAACAAGTTTAATAGTTTTACAGCTGCTGTTTCTCATTAAATGAACTAAAACATTCCTTATCTAAAGAAAAAAGGTGAAACTGAAAAAAAACTGCTCAACAACGACGACAGAAGGGAACATCCTCCTCTCCAGGATCTTCGCACGATGTTGTATCATAGATACACACAGTTGGTAGACGGCATCTGAAATATACTAGAGATACAAAAACCCTATAGCCTATGGCTGACAATAAATTTTAAGTTTGTATGTCTAGAAATGCAAGAATAACCTTGAAAGCATTATTATAACTACATACTTACTAACATTTGTATGTTCACACAGATACTACCAGGACAGTGGAATGTGCCATCCTCCCCAAGGCAGGAGGTCCATGAACAATATGAACAGCAATCAAAGCACTCATTTCAGGCAAGAAGGTGTTTTTTTGTTAAAAAGAAAAAATAAAATAAAAAAAAGTAGGAAGTAAACACAGTAACACAGCCAAGCCTATGACTACAAGCCTTCCCCTCCTCCCTTTCTCTGGAGAGGAAAGAATGCATATTACAGCATTTTTGCCAGTTCCAACAGATGTACAAAATCAAGAAATAGCAGCTCTGGTGATGAACCAGTTGTACTTTAAAAAAAACAAACAAAAACCCAAAGATTCTCCCATGCTCTAAAAGGAAGAGACCAGTATGTCCTATAGTTCTGTTTGCATAATGGGATCTGATAAGCAGTCTCTCAGAAATAGCAGATTGCTCTTCTAAAGAAAATGGTTAAACTTTGTCAGGATTTTTGAATAGAGAAGTTGCTAGTTATTTCAGACAATCATCAATTATGCTTTCTAGTTTTAAATGCATAAAGCTAGTTTTAAAAGCCATACTGTTCCTTATATAGTAGTTTTGGGTTGCCATTTTAGTGATATTCAAAGATGACTTTGCTGAAGTGAAAAGATTCCGCAGATTATTTATTACAGGGAAAAATGAAGACAAATGTTACAATGCTAATAATGATCAGAGCTGTACAAAATCATAAAAGCCTTAGTAGCGCAATCTGGAGCACAGGCCAGTTCTCATGTTGCCCAACCCAACACAGCATCTGCATGTTTTTGCTGACAAAAAGAAGGAAAAAAATATTTGATTCTGTACAGCCAGAGAACACAACGCCTGTATTATTCCAGTAACAGTAAGTCCACATGAAGAAGATAACGCTGTGTGAAAAATGAAGCTCTGAAATTAAAAGTCTTGAAACGAGCCGAGACACACAATTATGGTAATAGTAACGAACAATCTGATTGCGAGAGGGAACATTCATCGCAAGTTCTGCACCACTCTCACTGACCAGTATAAACTCTGTCAACATAAAGAATCTAATATGGGCAACAGCAAAGGGATAGAAAAAACCACACACTAAGCATAACTCCTAAAAATTTAAATTCACCACTGTCCTCAACATTTCCTCAAAAGCACTTACTGACTACAGAAAAACCATGTTTCTGGCTTCCTGCCATGCCTAAAACCCTACCGCAAATCCAAATTCCAGCCGTGCTTTGCATTCAGCTTGCGCCACAGACTACCACAAAACACCAGTTGCCACAGCACAAACACACCTTGTCATTTGAAGATTTCCAAAAGTGCAAATGACGTTTACAGATGTAACTCACATAAAGCTCAGTACTTAGCTACTATCTGTTCCTTCAGTAATCCTTCCTAAACTGTTTGCTAGGGAAACCTAACAAACATCCAGTTAACTTCCTTCTATAATTCTTTTTGACCATGCTGCTTTAAGTAAATGCTATTGCTGACCATATAATGGACGAAGAGGGAAAGGAAATCAGAATAGTCCTGCAAAGGGAGAAATTTTCAACTCAGATGACTGGGGTGAAAAATATCTTCTAGTATGGCTCTCCATGACATCACCTTTGCTTGTCTCATCTTACCAATTTCAAAACTTTTAGGAAATGCACTAGGGCAGCTGAGTATAACCCTACTGATTTTGCAAAAAGAGAGCGATAAAGCCCTACTTCCGTAAGCCAGCTGCTGGGGTAGACTAACTCCCTCATGCTCCTAACTGTCCTCCAAACACACCAGAGGCACAAGCGCAACATGCTGCCTGCTCTTCCATTACACGGTTCAACCTGGTGTACAGGAGCAACAAATAAGGGAGTCTGCCATCAGGACGAGCAGCTTCACACACATTTGCAAAATGAAGGCAGGCTTAAACATTTGTGTAGGAAAGGACAAAAACCACCATAAACATAGATGTAGCTACATCCTCACTAAAACCCTTAAACATTCCCTCATGTCATTGGTGCTTCAATGGCAAATTTAGACTTTTCCTATTGCAAATGAACGCTCTTCATTTTAGGCATTTGCTCCTCCTGGCAATTTAACCAAGCACCGACTTCGCGTTAGCATACTGAAAGCTACTTCTTGATTAAAACTGACTACTAACAGCTTCCTTCTGACATCTGTAATTCCCAACATCTATACTCTGTAGCTGCTTTCTGAGATGCACTGCTTCAGCTTAAAGAGAGCTGTAACAAAAAAAACCCCAGAGCTTGACGTTCATCCACCGACGATGCATCACAGATTCTGCCTCCCTCTTCCAATGAGCATCTCCTGCCAATCACATAGTATCCTGGAATTTCTAAGCTATGATGTTCTTAACACAGAGGTAACTAAACATCTAAAAGAGGCATCAGAAACATTTTCCCTTTCATTTACTCCATACCGTAAGAACTGTAAAAATACTGGAATAAAATGTAAAACAAAAACATGCAAAAGCTTAAGCTACTAAATTAAATACCAACGCACAGGATTTTTAAACCACAATCAAGTCTCTCATTTCAACGGGCATTCTTTAAATGTCAATTCATTCCACAATAGTTTTAAAATTGGGAGAAAAAACCAAACACTTCTGCCTGAGGATTTCTAAAAGAA